CCTACTTGTACAGCCAGGTTAGATGGATATGGCCCACCTGTACAAGCAAGTTAGAATGATATGGCCCGCTTGTACAGCCATGTTAGAATGATATGGCGTACTTGTACAGCCAGGTTAGATGGATATGGCCCACTTGTACAACCAGGTTAGAAGGATTTGACCCACCTGTACAAGCAGGTTAGATGGATATGGCCCACTTGTACAGCCAGGTTAGAATGATAAGTCCCACTTGTACAGTCATGTTAGAATGATATGGCCTACTTGTACAGCCAGGTTATAATGATATGGCCTACTTGTACAGCCAGGTTATAATGATACTGCCAACTTGTACAGTCAGGTTAAAATGATATGGCCCACTTGTACAGTCAGGTTAGAATGATATGACCTTGCTTGTACAGCAAGGTTAGATTAATATATGGCCCGCTTGTACAGTCAGGTTAGAATGATAATGCCCTGCTTGTACAGCCATATTAGATTGATATAGCCCACTTCAAATGATATGGCTCACTTTTACAACTAGGCTAGAAGGATATGACCCACCTTTACAGCCAGGTTTGAATGATATGGCTCGCTTGTACAGCCAGGTTAGAATGATATGGCCCACTTGTACAGCCAGGTTAGAATGATATGGCCCACTTGTACAACCAGGTTAGAAGGATATGACCCACCTGTACAACCAGGTTAGAAGGATATGACCCACTTGTACAGCCAGGTTAGAATGATATGGCCCACTTGTACAGCCAGGTTAGATTGATACTGTCAACTTGTACAGTCAGGTTAGAATGATATGGCCCGCTTTACAGCCATGTTAGAATGATATGGCCTACTTGTACAGCAAGGTTAGAATGATATGGCCCACTTGTACCGCCAGGTTAGAATGATATGGCCTACTTGTACAGCCAGGTTATAATGATAATGCCAACTTGTACAGTCAGGTTAGAATGATATGGCCCACTTGTACAGCCAGGTTAGAATGATATGTCCCACTTGTACAGTCACGTTAGAATGATATGGCCTACTTGTACAGCCAGGTTAGATGGATATGGCCCACCTGTACAAGCAGGTTAGAATGATATGG